TCCAAGTAATATACCAAGGTAATTCTAGAAACAGACACAGAATGCCATCAAGCAGATAACCTTTCCTCGACAACGTATCCGGTTACTTCTATTTTTGCAAGTAAAGCAAATCGTGTTCGTAAGTATTTGCGAACAGCTAATTTTTATTCAACTACCTGGCAGATTAGTCATTGAAAGCTTCAGTTCATGCCAAATATGGAATGGTCGGCTTTAATATTATGCGATAATCTGATATGAGGACAATATTATGATCCTTTGTAATGAACTAACTGCCGATATGTACTTTTGTTGTCGGTCAAGTTGTTCCACCGGACCAATAAAAATGGATTATGTATGATTATTGCAGTAACAATTGCTTATTAACTTTCTGTCACAGCAAATTTGGTTAACATTTTATTATTTTCCATATTTACAGGTGCCAGCGGTTGATATTTTTTCTTAGCAATAATTTTAGTCATCATTTGCCATATTCAACTTAGCAACAAGTTAGTAAAAACTGCTGAAAGCTTTTATGTGTTAAAAAATCTGTTTTGCAAAGAAAATCATTGCACGAGTATTTTTTCAATGCTTTACCGGCTTTTTTAGGCATGGTTTTTATCTGATTTCCAAGAATATGTAGGGTGATTCAAAAATGACGTTATTGTTCTTTATGGAGTCAACATCTAGTTTTTTGCAAATATCTCTGTTTTTAATAATAATAATTGTTTTCCTATTTTTCCTATGCTCCTAAAACACCCCCAGACAACACCTACACGTCCAGAAGAGTGTCGCCAATTGTAAATCACCCTCTAGATTATTACATTTTTGAATTCTACTCCAGTTTCTAAATATTTTTCCTAGTCTAACCGTTTTTGATATATTTCAAATTTTATGTCAAAAATTATAGTTCTGCAGGCAGCAGAACAGTTATTATATGCATTACATTCCAAAAAAAATGAAAAGTTGGTAAATATAAATACCCTTTCTCAAATTTTTTTATTATTTTATTTATGTATTAAATGTTTATGAAGAGCGTCTAAACATAGACTCTATAAGAGTGTTTGAAATGATCAGGTTTATTTCCCTGAACAAATCTAAATTGGTTAAATCGTCAACCTATTAGACCAGTGTACTGCGAAATCTATTCTGATGGTAAAGTGAACGGTGTCAAGAAAAGCAAAAATAGCCACAACTGAACTTCTGTTCACAAAGTTCTGATACACAAAGTCTCGTGTCAACTCGCACTGTGTATTAGTACAAATTGAAAATTCCCCACCGTGTAACATTTTTTTACTCATTTTTACCCCAAATTTTTGCATGAACTTGCTACCATTAGATCATTAGGACATAAATGCAGAAACTTAGAAAGAATTAACTGTCATGGTGTTTGTCATTCTGAGATAACTTATGGACAACTTATATTTTGAGTGTAGTACATATTGAAATCCAGGTATTTATATATTATTATATTTTAATATTAATTTTTCAAACACTGAATTGCACTCAATTTAAGTGATTAGAGAGACGAATCCAGTAAAATGATCAAAATAGAGAGAAAACCATTCACTTCTTCTCAACAATATTTGTTAGTTTTAGCAAATGTTCTATGCTTAAATGCAAGCAGAACCTATGCAATGCTAATAAGTAAAAACGCAAATAAAAAATCCTGGTGCCAAATTTCCGATTTATTTATTTTGCAGAGATCTCAGTTTTCTGTGCAAAGTGTTATTTTTACAATAGGTAATATATAACTTCTTAATAACCCTTAGTAAAAACCTTCAGAGGAATAAGCCAATTGTAACATATCCTCAAAATATTTGCAATTGAATTGTGTTATAACAATCTAATTCAAAGACGACAATCCTGTCGTGACAAACATTGCTAATAAAATATCAAGGCTGATATTATAAATCGGAATAAATTGCATTCCAACGCATCGTAATTTAGCAATAGGGTTTTAGTCAGTTCTAATTGTGAAGAAAATATTAGAAAACCACTTTAATGTTGCCGCTTTTTTACATGTTTATGAACATACAACTTGAAACATATTTTTGTTACGAAAAAAAAAAGTTTTCTCTTCGCCACCTGAGTGTTTGATCCGTTGCCAGGTTTACAACACCGTTAAAACCGTATTGAAAAGATGTTGGTAAATTTAATGTCTGGTCTTTCATCGGCAAGTTGTGGGACTTTTTTGAAGACAAGCGTTTCATGTCATACCATAAACCTGTATCATCAGGAAACCAATCTGGACCTTCAGCTGTGTTGAACTACTCAACATGTAGCTTTTAACTTAGTGTATTTTATTTGTGTAATTATCTCTCTCTAAAAGATCGGGAATAAAATGCTATTTCAAAAGGAGAAAGAAATGCACAGCTACAAAATACATTTTATTGTAGCTATTTACTGTGAGCTTATGTTATCGAATATTAATTTTGAGGTAATCCATGCCAGTTTTTTTGGCGATTTGCAAGGGCCTTCACATGTTACACTAATCTTCACAAAGTTTTTGAAAGAATAATTGTTGCTATATACAGGGTGAAGGCGTATTGGGCGTTTATGGAGAACGCGATGCAGGATCTATCTGAAAATGTGTACATCGAAGTAAAGCTTATATCGAGAAGTATCTATAAACTAAAAACATTAAAGGAGGCACCTAGTATATTATTGTACATTTCAATTAGACTTGCGGGGTCTCATTATTTCTGTTTAAGGCTTCCTAAATTTATCTAAAGCGGTTTCTGAAACATTAAATAATTTTTATATTTTTTTGTCCAAATATGCCGTCAGAAATTTTGTACTACAAAGCAATTTTCATAGCTGGAAATTAAAAGATTTGACTCGGGATAAGAAAGCCCTATGCTGTACCCATTGAACTATATACTAACGTAACGTACGTTAGTATATAGTTCAATGGCTTTACCTATACGTACGACTTGGAATTATTGAACACAGGGTGTTTGGAAAATGCGATAGAAAATCTAAAGGGCGATTCTACATTCAAAAATAATGGTGTAGGTCACTTAGCAAAAATTTAAAATCTGAATATTTTTTGAGTTACAGCTCATCAAACTTAACTTTTTTTCTTTTTCTTTTTGACCTATTCTGAACATTTCGTCGCAGTTCATATTTAAAATCGGTACAGAGTTTCATTATAGTGATCTCTAACTTTCGGATCAAAATGTGTCTGTCCACTTTGCTACTAGCTGGCACTTTACCTGAAATTAAAATTTCATTTTTTGAAAATCTGTTTTGGCTTGGCAAATATAATTTCAATTTTATTTAAATACGAAAGGAATTCTTAAGAAGTCATTGCTAATTAAAAAGCAATGCTATAGATAATAAATTTAATTTTTTTATGTAAAATATAAAGTAAATGTAGTCGTTATTCCAAAAAATCCGCACAGATAACGTTTAGACGTCCCTCCTTAAAAACCAAGTTATACAGATTGTTTGCCAATCAGTTCGTCACACAAATAGCTCCCGCAACTTGATTCAAGGGCGTCGATTATTTTCAAATTTATATAAATTGCTAATAAGGCAATTATTATAATATTAACTACTCATGCCTTCCAATGGAACTGTTATTCTTTTTAGTATTCATTAAAAAGTGACAATAAGATTTCAGCTGCAAAAAATATGGTTTTAGCTACACACCGAATGAAGAGGACAGACCACTAAAAAAAATTACAATGTTTTTCTAATAATGTGACTGGATGATCGGAAATTTACGCTAATCTATTCCATACATGGATCGTATTTCAATTACGTTTTACGTAAAATTGTTGGCGGTCCACCTTGGTAACGCATCTGAATACTATTTAACCTGATCTTCTCAAGGTAAATATTTCACTTCAGTACTCGCACGTCTTGAACTTGAACTGAAGTAGCAAAGCAAATGAAAAGTATTACCTATGGTATTCTGTTCGCACCGTGCATATCAGTAGCAAAGCAATTTGTAACGGTGTTAAATGATATTTTGTCTAGCATAAATTATTTAGTCGCGAATTCGAATTACAATTGAGAAAACTAACTTGTCTTTTAAAGAGAAATAATACCAAATATTTCGGATATATATGTTCTTTGCTACTACACGTGCGTCAGTTTGTATAGTTTTCATTAATTGCGATCAAATTTTTGGAGGACTGATATGAAAATTACCTTAATTTAAATTAAGGTGTCTGAAGAAAATTTAAATGCACAATATTGTATTCGCGTCAATTAGTATGACAAACCAAATATTTGTGTGTAAATTATTAAAAGGGATGATATGGCGGATATATTCCCCATAATTCATAAATATGGACCTTTAAGCAAAAATGAGAATACCATGTATAGTGATTCAAGAATGAAACGAAAATAACCGGAGCTAAATACTTTGACCCTAAATTATAAAACCATTTCGTTGTTGATAGGTGATTCAATAATTTTTTGTTTTTCACGAAAAATTCAACAGTTTCCCCCAACGTAGTGAATTTAAGAATGCGAGCTTACTATTAACCTCATAACTCGCTTCCGAACTTATGTTGAATTGATTTTCCTTGTTGCATCTGGGCAACATTTGAGATCGACTATCGAGAGATATAAAAGAAATTGATTGTCTTGTGTAAGAAAATCATTATAGTCTCTAGGTTTAATACCCTAGGTTCACATTCGTCCATTTAAATGTGGAATTAAAATATTTGCTACGGAATTTTAGCGATACATATTTGATTAATTGGTACTATAAGTTGCAGGGCTTTGGATTAGCGGTAAACTTGAAATTCGGTAGAATACCATTTGCGTGGTTTATAGTGGCACGCTTTAGAAAAAAAACTAGATAACTTTTGCTAAACACTCGTATTTAGGATCAGCAACAATTCGTGGTCTTAATTAGAATAGCATTAAAATTTTGGATTTAGCGTTAATGGGATTAGCTCTTTAGATATATTGCTTGCATAATAGAGTAATTTAATAATCTCACCTAATAAACTGGTTCTCGATGTAAAAGATGAAGTAAAATAGGAAAAGTAAAATTAACTTACCTGGTAAGCTGGAGCAAGCCACGCAAAGATATCCAAAAATAAACATCACAGACTTGGTAAGTTCCATTTTTTCGAATTGATCACGTGTGAATAGAGGAGACTACTGAGGAATTTTGCAGGAGCTGCAATGTGAAGTTGAACTTCGAAGCGCTATTTGTAAACAAATCAATATAACCTGAATAAATGCTCGTTGGTGTGCGCTGATTCTCTGCTTCGCAGTCGATATGTATGAGTCTTGTCCTGCTACTCCTGCTAAAAATATATAAGCTTGCTGCTGTGTAGTTTGAACAATCCTCTCGATTTTGCGCAATTTTTGTGTTCAATTCGTATTGGGACACCGACCTATGCACCTATTCGGAAAAACAATTAGTTTTTGCTTTGATAACACATCGACTTTTGTATCGACAAAAATGTTATTGTTTTTTTAAATAAAATTCGCACATACTCAGTGACTTTTATGAATCTATCAAACTTAATTAATGAAATTCATAGTGATGGTCAAAATTATGCACGGTAGTACATTGTTATTAAATAATAAATGAAACTCTTACTGTCAATCGTATACTTAAAATTGCAACTTCTGACAATGCATCAAATTCCAAAGCACCAACATCTAACAATAAGTATGTTTCTTCTTCTTTATTCTACGTATGTAATATTAGCGAATCGTCGTACCTGTTGAAGATTATTGCACTGTATTTATGGTGATATCAGAATCGTCAGAATTTCTTATCTCAGGACCCAGTAATAATTCGCAAAAACGCTTAAAGGCATAGCAATTATTTTCAATCCATTGCTCTAACATTGAGAAAGTCGAGGAAGAATGGAAGCGAATGTGTTCTGGAATCTCCTCGAACAGCATTTCGATTGAGGAATTGATTTAATATGACTGCGAAAAAATTAATAAACGCACCATTTCTATCCTCCGAATTTGTTTAAAGTTGACATATTTCTTGCTGCCAATAAAGCGACTGAAGTAATAGCAAATTTCCAAACTAAACAGCGTTATTTTCGAAAAATTTGTAGGATTAGGTAATTGCACCAAATTTTAACAAATATTTTGTCCCTGGCTAGAATGAAAAATTAATAGAATTGTATTAATTGTAGTTGCATTGACGAACTAGTAGTATCTTGTAGAGTGGCTACAATTCAGAAAGTTGCACTGCTGAAGAATTCGCGTAGAAAAGACCCAAGTAGGCACTGGGTTCTATACAGGGTGACCACAACCTTATAGACACAGAGCAGGGGCGTGTAGAGGACCTCAAAATCGAGTTTCCATTTATGTTTATTTTCTCAGGCCCACGGTTAACGAGGTACAGGATGTTAAAGTTTCAAAAAAATGTTGGTAGGTATTTTCTCTTTAACTCCTACAGTTTATGAAATTTTTTGCTCAAATTTTTTACGTAGGCTAATGTTTAGACCGTTTACCGCGGTAAAGCCCAGGTAAAGCGACTGGTTGTGAAAATCTACAGGGTGTTTTTTTATAACGAACTTTGTGAATATTTTAGGGGATATTGTATCTCCGTGCCTCACGCATCTCCATAGATAGATTGGATCAATTCCCCCAAAGACTTGGATCGTCATGGTTGCGTCGTGGAAGAGAGCGTTGATCAGCTGTATATATCGATTATCGATTCGGCATCTATTTAGAGCATTCAAAAAGCCCATTTTTCCAGTGTATCGAACGATTTGTTAAAATCTATAAAAGCTAGAAAGCCCTGTTGATTATACTCCAATGAATTTTCTATTATTTGCCTTAGATTGTGTATACGATCAATCGTACTGTACCCCCCACGAAAACCGACTTGTTCCACTGGCTGGAATTCCTCAAGCTTGCTGGTAACTCTGTTCGTTATTATTATTGCCAGGAGCTTGTAGGTATGAGACAGCAGTGAGACGGGTCTGTTCTTAATATCTTCCTCATATCCTTTCTTATAGGGGATAATCACTCCCGCGTTTCTTAATGCTTGAAGTATTTCACGTTTATCTTAACAGTCATTGAAAACTTTTCCAAGATACCCCAATAATTTTGGCCTTCCCATCTTGATTTATTTTATGATATATTTTTTTTTTCATTTTCTTGAGTCTAGTTTTAATTTCATTTTTGCTTATGTGTGGCAGATCCTCGGTGTGGTGCTTAGTTAATTTCGCTCTCTTATCTGTTTTATAGCGAGGTTTCGCTGAAACTTTTGTTGAGTATAGGTCTTCATAAAATCGTTTTAGATACTCAAGAAACCCGATTCTTGTCTTGAGTTTATTTCCATTTTCGTCTTTTAATGATGTTATTTCGAATTTCCCTGGCGACATTATTTTTCTAAATACTCCTGACCCTTTCTTGCTTTCTATAACTTCCTTTATTACCCTCTAATTATATTTGGAGACATCGGCTCTTACTTGGCTCTTAATAAGTTTGCTTCGTTCCCTTAGTGCATCGTGTGTCGTGGATATCTTATGTTTATTCCTATCTGCAATAAGTTTTTTAATGTACTCGTCGATTTTATTATTCATTGTAGTTTTCCTAATAACTAGAAGAGTTTTTTCAACAGCCTTCTTAATGCTCACTAATACGTATTTACTAAGCTGGCTTACTTCAGGAAAGTCTGCCATCTCTTGTGTGAGAATATTTCTCTCCGAAAATCCTACTCCTTTCGAAGTATTACTTTTTCTGACACAATAGAATACGTTTCCAGATATGAGATTCTGTTCTTTTGATTGCGCCAAGTCCACTGATGTCCCAGTTTGGGTAGCGTCATTCTTCTTCCAATTGCAGGACTCTGTCTTCAGTTCTTAAGGTTCTTGTTTTAAGTGTTCCTTTAACTTTCTTTAGCGAGTTTCTGCCTCCCCCAGAATCATTGAGGCTGCCCTTGTTGCAGCGGTGGGATTTTGAACTGGAAATTCTACTCACCTGAGGTATAAATCTAGTTTTGAGGCTCGACATTTTGGAGTTTTTATAACCTAACCGGGAGAACAGACGATGTTTGTAGCCGCCCACTGTGGATCAGACGCTACGTACAGTAATGAACCGAACCAGAATCATTTTCTTTACGCTCGATCCTGATACTGGTGGTAACTGCTACCCTCCATCAGGAATGTTTATTGACCTTCCGGTCATAATGTTCTGCGTCAACGGTATTCACTGAGGATAGGCTTTAAACCTTTTTTAAGGCAATGGCGCATCACTGCCTTTGCCCTGATGTTCATGAGGACCAATGTCCAGTCAACCCGAAGCAAAGGCACTAACTCTCCAACACATCTCAACTCCCTCGGTCAATTAATAAGTATAAAACGCTTTCTTATTTGATTTATTATAAAAGAACATTATCGATTACAACAAGATTTACAGTTATCTAATGGCTGACATTCAGCCCTGTGCTGTATCATAATTGCTATTTTTAACGGCCATACGTTATGGCAACTTAACAGTTCAGGATAACATTTTCGATAACGCAGCAACACAACCGAGGTGTGCTCTATCTCCCAGTTAAGGTATGCGTTTCCGACCCAGTTATGCATCAAACGTTAAAAAGGAAAAAAATATTGGGTGCATAAAGTGAGATGCCCTTATACGAATAGTCTATTAGTTAGAGAGAGAGTTAACATCAAACCATCGAAGCTTCTAAAACAGACCTATGCACCACATGTGCACGTTTTGATCATTTGGCCCACCTACTACCCTACTTGTCTTTGTTTATGATTTGCATTCACTTTCAATTTCGTTCGTTATTGTTTTTGACCTATCTTCTCAAACGCTTTGAATGGAACATGCACAGAAGAGGCAAAAAACACAACCAGCAAACAAGTTGAGAATTTAGTAGTTTGTGGAGGAAAATAAAGTTTGTTTTCAAGACCATTTACCAATTGTTCTAATAAAGCTAACCTTATAAGACCACCAAAAGACATATATTTTTCTTTTAAATTAAGAACAAATTATAGCTAAAATACAAAACTACGCTCTGATTAAACACAATTGTTTTATTTATTCCCCGAAGTTAACTTCG